TTTTTTTTTTTACAATTTAAATATGTGGCTAGGATATGGTAGATGTAGGAAAAAAAACGATAAAAAATTAGTATGTATAATTAGTGACAGTTGTCTATAGGGTCACAATCACCGCTGAAACCGGTTGTTACAATGAAGTGTCCACATTGTCTACAAGTATTCGACAGCTTTTCGGTACTTCAACTACATTTGTTAACGCATCGACCTATGATAACCAATCCGACAACCTCTACAGCATCTGCTAAGACTGTAACTGTGTCGAAGGCATCATCGTCTCCAATACCCAACAGTAAATCACCGCAAAATTGTAGATGTCAAATATGCGGCAAAAATTTCTCTCGACATTGGCTTCTACAGGGACATATTCGGACTCACAGTATGTGATCATCCAGTAATCTTTTTGATCAAGATATTTTGGTTGAAAATTAAGGCCGATCAACTGATTAACAGTTAATTTTTAGCTGGTGAAAAACCTTTCAAATGTCATGTATGCGCAAAGGCGTTTGCCGATAAAAGTAATTTACGTGCTCATATACAAACACATAGCGGTAAGTGAAGAAAGAAAAAAAAAAAAAAACGAGAAAATTTTAAATTATATTTTAAAATAATCCATTTCAGTAATTTAAAAATAATTTTTTTCTCAAAAAAATTTGACTGAAGTTTTGCAAATTTTCAAAAACGCTGTTAATGACAGGTCTAATTTAGGCATAAAACCGTTTGCTTGCGATCGTTGCGGTAAAAGATTTGCGTTGAAAAGTTACCTGTCAAAACATGAAGAATCTACGTGTATGCGTTCCATTGTCAAAAATCGCCAACTGCTAGTTCTCTGACAGAATTAATGTTCAATTTCTTTGTAAAAAATTTCTCTAAGAACGATAACTTCACGACCATCTGAATTGTGATAGGTATTCAATGACAGTGCCTTAACTTTCAACATCAACTCTTTTTCTGAACTAATACAGGAAATTGGTAACAAAAAATTGAGTAGTCTCTGTTGCATTACTATAAGCCATAATATTTGTAAGCATTTCCGCTAGCGATGCAATAATTTTAAGAATTGTAGACGGTTGGTTAGTTTAGGGCTTCCAAGTACAATGTGAATTCGTGGAACTTTCTGAATGGCTGCCTGCTTTTAGTAGAATGAACTGTTGACTTCCCATTCGTATGTTGATTACTTGACGTACTTTACAAATTTACACCAAGAAGTAATGTTTGATTTGACAGAAACGGTCGCTCTAGTTTTCAGCAACTGGGAACGCTAAAAAAGGAATTGTGGTTAACGGAATGACAACCGCCAAGACAAAAGGGGAAAAGAAGAGCGGATTCACAGCTTTTGTGGGCAAATGCTGCTCTAAATAATCAACTCCTGCGATAAATAATTAATAACAGCTTTAAGTGTTGTTTTCTAAAACCATGTGCTCCCTCAAACGTTCACGGTTGTCGAAAACTGAGAAAGTTTTACAGTTAAATCAAACATTTCACCTATCACTACTGGACAAAAAGTCGACTGCGCAGCCCCTCAGGAGAGCTCACAGCTTCTGTTCTGGGCTTCAATCCCCTGACACCGATGAGTACCGACATTCATAATTTCAAATTCTAATCATCGTTCTCCTCACTGAAGGATTTTCCGTTGTTTTGCACTTTATTTATCACTAAACGAGAGCGGATCCTGCACTCAACAAATATTTGATTCTTATTGAGAAATATTTTTAAAACCAACAACTTTACAACTCTTAACATAACAATGCTGTCGTTCTTTCTCCTGTTGACCTTTTTTCTCCTTTTAATCACTCTTTTTTCTTGCAAAATCCTCACTTCAGTGTTGTGGCCTCGAAAGTTTGCTTAAATTGATTTTATTTCAGGCAAACTTCGTTAATTATATATATGTATACAAGTCCATTCTGTCTGTAAATTTATTTTGTGATTAACTAAAAAAATATCTAATTACTTATAACCTTAATAAAGAAAAATTTCATACTATTTTAACTAACTGTCTGCGTATCACCGTCTCAACTGGTGCTCTTTAGCAACCTTTCGCCGTTCTTTGTCCACGATATCTCAATACTGTTATAGCGATTAAGACCTAACTATAAAGTTAAATGCTACTTCAGGAACCTAGACATCACTTCGGCAACAAAAAGCAAATGCATCAGAAACTCACACTGTGGTACACCATTATAAACGATAATGATTACAATAAATCTTTCCTCTGAGGACTTCCGACACTGTTCAATGCCCTGCAGATTCTAGTATAACAGTTCAGAGAAGGAACTTTTGCAAACATCTCCTGCCCAGTGGCTGTTGGAAATTACAATGACACTGTCCTATTCTTCAACCAATGCTAAAGGGTATACAGGTTTAACACAGTATTGTATTACAGAGGTAAGGAAGGCTACAACTAGTTCTACTCACCCGTAGTACTTGTTTACGAAATGAGGCTTGCATTCACAAGTCATAAAGATTTAATTTTTCTGAGCTTATTCACGTTGTGCGAAACCCAGCAAACAGATTCGTTCACAGCTTTACTCACCGTAACTCAAAAAAATACCAGATCTTTTTTCATTATCCATTTTCAGTTGAATTATTACCTCTTAAAAGTTAACATGCTGAAGTGAACGAATAAGATCAAAAAGAAACCTAGCCAACAGTCAAATTACTCAAAAAATCTAATAATCTCAGATCTTTATTTTTATAACAGACTTAAAAAGAAAGCTCTAGTCAAGAGGTTAGAAAAATTATTCCAGACTAATAAATTCTCTATAGCATTCTGATTTCTAGAGAAATTTCTTTCAGAGAGATACAAAAAAATGAACAAAAACTAGCAGCAGCGAACTCAGTAAATTTGAAAACAAAAGGCTTCTCAAGAAATTACATATATGTAATTGATAAGTTACTTCTAATTAACAACATAACAACTAGCGAGTCAAACGCAAAAATGTTCTATCTATGATCGAAGAAGCAGAAGTGAAAAAGGCAAGATTAATAAGAAACCCATTATACTGAAACAGCTCTCAACTTAAATTTCAAGCAAATCAAATATACAATATCTAGAAGAAGATAAAAAACCTACAGTCAAAAAACTTCGTCCAAATTCATTCGTGTGGCCCAAATATTTCCATTAAAGCCTTGATAAGATAATGTGCGGTACCATACTCACCTGCTGGAGCTGAATCGTAAAAATGCTTACAGACACCTTGGGCTCCTTCACAGCGTCTACCGCTCGCGCAGCACTCCATGACAATCGTTCCCATTTGCCTCTGAAAGTTGTGGATGAACAAGTAAATATTTATTTTTTTCCTTCAACTAAAGTAAAAGACACAATTTTAGAGTCTATTTGTTGCCTACTAACATTGTGTTCCACAAAGACTTTATTGGCTAGGTGTACCACAGAATCAACTTCAAAAGGTTTGTCTTTAGGTATGTTTGGACGATCCGTTTTTACTAGTAAATCAATCTTGCTAATTAAAGCGAGTGCTTCAACAATCATTTCGCGATATTCAGGTTCGGCGATCTAAAAGTAAAACTTTTCAAAGCGTTTGATATAAAACTTTGACTCACTAAGGCGATATTATCACTTTAAGTTCTCTATTAACTACTGTTTTTAAGCTCTAAGAGCAAACGCCTATACCTGGTTCAGCACTTGTTCAACTTGTAATGCAAATTTTATTTCCCTTCGAGTCATCTAAAACCGAGTCATCATATTAGAACACAGAGCTAAGTAAAGCTGTAGTGTAATTTGAAAGAAAAAAAACGAAGGCAGCAAATAACCTCTTGCGTAACGCCCCATGGAAGTACTATTCGATTAATGGATAGGCCGCGTGGGAACCTTCTGACTGTATCCCAAAGTGTCTAGAAAGTCAAAGTTCCAAAGAAGTTACATAAAATTACAAATATTTAAAGAAACTAAGAAACATACCGCGTAAAAGTCACGTGGGACTCTATTTAAAGCTCCATCAATACGACGATGCCTCAACCAAACACCGAATTGGAAATCATCAGTCTCTTCTATATCCTCCTCCTCCTCAAAGGTTTCTGGTGGTAGCCCACTTTCTTTCTGCATTTCATGCATAGATTTCCTCCAAGACTGTAAGCAAGCAAGTTTTTAGGAAAAGCTATCAAAATAAAAAATTCTATAAAAACAGATGTTGAAAGTTCTAAACTGCCCTCACAACTGATCCCGACCGTGAACTTACTCTCTTTTCTTCAATCTGCTTCCGTATTGAACCCATACCAGTCCTCTGTTCTTTTGCTCCACTTTCTGCATCTTCATTGACATCTTCCAGCAATCTACCACTAAGTAAAGCGAAAAGCATACTTTTAACTTCAAAAGGTGATAAAGTCAATAATTTCTGTGTAGCATCGGCGGCACTCAAACTTCGAAGCCTGGCAAGTTCACTAGCCAAAACCTTAAATTAGAAAGTCACCAGAAATTAGAAAAACATTGAAATGCAGCAGACTTTAGTATTTCATACAGTATGGCTCAAGACATAACCCTATTTTAAAAAAACAATAAATTTTTTCTTTGGTCACATCGGCCAAATTCAAAGCCGTTCCACCGCGCCAATTGAAAAAGAGATTTAAATGCGAAATTCAAGTAAAACAATCTCATTAATCTAGACAAATATAAAAAAACAAAGTTATTGACGCTTCAAAAGAATTTTAGAAGCGCAACAAGCCCTCATAATGAAAAATATTCTGTTAAAAAACCGAACAACGCACTTGGATAATTAATCCAACTCGAAGTCTAAACATTTCCACAAAAAGCCGTGGCTCAGTTCGAACTAACGTGCCTAGACACACAATAATCTCCTATAAAACGAAAACTACAAGAAATAAGATATTCAAATGACACCTTGTTTATAACTACACAGAAACAAGAGCAGTAACCCTCTCTTATTAACCTTCACCGTGAGCAAAACTTGAATTGGTCAAAGCAATGCAGTCATGATACAAAATAATTCTTTTGTGTTGTTCTTTATAAGACAAACAGCTTTCCTTCTAAGTTGATAAGAAAACTTTGAGGCAAAGCTTCTGACCTGCGACAACGTAAAAGAATTTGGGTCTCCACCATATGCACGATTTAAGATATTAGCTAACTCTTCCCTTGTTTTTGGGCAGGTTACCGCTTCTTCCTTTTTTGATGGCATGCCAATAGTAATTTGCTTTTGTCGAACTAACAAGTGAGTGACAGACATAGCTAGTTCATCTAACTGCCTTTTCAGCAGCCCAGATGTCAACCGAACCAAAGCCCATTCGCGTTTCTCACAAGCCTAATTGATTGCATTAACGTTTATTAGAATTATTAAGCAGATAAGAAATTCGGTACAAAACAGTTAATTTACCATCGCATAAACTTCTTCTGTAAGAGCTCGTACTGTTGAGCCTTCAATGCCGTTCAATTTGGTATCATATTCAGGACCTCTAAACACTTAATTTTTAAAATCAAAAGTTATTAGAATAGATAAGATTAAATAAATTTACAAGCAAAAAATATTACAACTCAAAATTATGTAAGAAAATAAATGTTTACTTTTTCATCCACAAATAGTGCACAATTGATGCCTGTTCTTCCAAAATATCAGTTTCGTGCAACATATCGACTACACTAAGTGTTGACATCTCATCCATTTGTGCCGTAACTAGCCTCAAATTTAAGCAGTAATAACAGTACCAACAAAGTAAAAACAAAACTATTTCCCTTTAAAATCGTTTATTCACTAACCTTTTATCAGACTCAGCGGAAATATTTATCAGAGACGAAGCAGAAGTGACAGTAGGTACAGAATTACTATTTACCACCATTCTCTAAACAATTGGTAAGAAAAAGTTGGCAAACCTTTACTTAAAATAACTAAAGTAACTGCTGAAAAAGCGTATAGCAAAAGCATCTGTTCTGTTTCGATACTTTTAAATTTTCAAACCACTGTGAAAAAATGTAAAATGAAAGTCACAATCAAAAATCAAATTGGAAAGCAACTCTTTCAAATAAACATTTCCTTGTTCTAATCGCTCATAGTGTATAAAAACTTCAAAAAACTTACACCACCATTTTCAAGTTTAGGACTTCGATGCTTTTCTCGAACAGGGGAAAGAAGACGCGTTGTAGCAGCCCGAAGTTTTTGTGCAGAGGATAAATGACTACGCTCTTGAATGTTGGCATAAGGTAAACGAAGTGAGACCAGATCTAGAAGCGAACAGAACCCCGTAAATTAATGACTTAACAGCATAATATTTGTACGAAATGATGTCATAAAGGAAGCAGAGAGAAAAAGAAATCAATTTTTACCGACATCATCACTGTCCAGGATAATACTTCGATGCCTAAGAGATGTTTTGTGAACAGTTTCAAATTGCAGTTGTCGATTTTTAATTGACTGTGAGCGTTGCACCCGAGGTGGGGAAAACGCTGTAAGTAATTTCCGCTTAATTTAAAAACTATTACTAAAGAGAAATTTCTAAGTTTTGGGTTAGCACCATCGATAGAACCACGAGCATGAAAGTCTAACAAAATAATTAAATTATCAAGAGCTCCCAAACTCACTGAGATAGTAATGAAATAACAGGAAGATACAGTGATGCAGAAAAAATAATTAAGAAAGCTTACGTCCTTCTGTACTACTAACTTCTGCAGTACGAAGACTACGGTGAATCATTCCACTAGCGCCAACTTCATTCAACACCTCTTCAATGTGTGCTTCACCAAATTCTAGTTTGTTAACCGCAGTTGTACGGAAAAACTGAGAAACGTTCTTCATCACTACTCTAAAAAAAGGTTTAAACTGCGGGTAAGATTAAGACGACTCTAACATGCACATTTTACTTCACCACTCCAAGTAAATATCGTTTTAATGATAATTACATACGATGAGGATTTACTAATGACTAGTAGAGTACCTGTAGGAGGAGAAATAAAAGCACAAATCATTCAAACGACTTGTGACTAATTATTTTGAGAACTTATTATTACCTGGCACCCCCTAAATAACCTGACGAAATTTTTTTTATAGTTCCAACAACCGTAGCCATCATATGTGAGTTGAGGAAAGCACTTTTGTCACCAGAGTCCTAAAGGCTCTTATCCCATTATGGCAATTGAAAAAAAGGCAAAATGTTTTATCTTTTACTTACACCTTCCAGCATATTTTTGGCCACTACTAAAACGACTAGAGGCCTTCCGGAAACACTAGTGGAGTTCCATGAGCTATAGATATACTGCAACTCAGAACTCCATTCATCCATCAAGATTCTAATATCATACATAAGGTGAGATCTGTGTCTGTCCATAAACTAAATGATGCAATTTATAAGCAAGGATAATTAAAGACAAGTTTTATAACATAAAAAGCAATAAAAAATACCTGTGGAGTGAAAATAAAAAATCTTTGTCCTATTTGGTAAAGACGACTAGTACTTAGAACACCAACATCTATATCTGACGGACGCCCAGTCAAATGAAGTTTCTTTGATTGACCAACCCTAAACAGAGATTAAATTACCTCATCGCGTACAAGAGAAAGATTTCTGAAAAATGAAGCACACCGTGAAAGTATTTTGGCAAATACGGAAGCGGGCTGAATGCTGAAGACTTCATCTAATTCGGCTATTTGCTGAACACTAATTTCATGTGACAGTAACTCCTTTTGCACTTCTTCATCCTCAGCCAAAATCGACACTAAAAAATATACTGTACTAAACAAAAAGTAATTAACAAGGTCCTCATCATCCTTAGTTTCACCACTTTTTCAAACAATTCAACCATATTTGAAATATTTTTTGAAAAATAAATTAAAATGATCTTGGTAAAAACTTTGAAAAAAAAAGTTTGCGTGAAAGAGATTCACTATTTTCTGCAGAAAATCTACAGAAATTTAATTGTACTTTCATTTTTCAATTACAAATAAATAAAAGAATTCAAGGATTGTGAGGAACAAAAAGAATTGAAACCTAAAAGAAAGAATCCAAAACGAAGAATACCGAGGGTACCAAGTGCCTCACGTAGTTTACACGAGAGAAAATAAAGACAACAAAGAAGATTTTTATATTGAAAAACAGTTAAGTAGGCAAAAAGCTATTAAAGGACCTCTGAAGAAAACCATATGACAAAATGCCCTAAGTCTGGCATTTTGACTCAACCGTCCGGATATGCTAAGGGTCTGTTCTCGATTTCTACCAAATACCTCTTTAAAATCTCCTAATTCCGTTATTTTAAAGCCTTCAGTTTTCCTTTATACTGTAGAAATAGTGAAAAAATTTTCTTTAAAGTCTCAAGACAACGCAATGTGAAGAGTTTAGAAATGGTGCAGTTGAAATTAAGTGAAGTAGAACCATCAGGCGTTAAAGGCTTGAAAATCTTCATGAAAGGAGTTAGTAAAATAGACCCTATTTTCTGAACTAATAGCATCATTCCTAATAAAAGCTTCAAAATCCCTTCTGCTAATCAAAAGTTGCCTCGAATAGAAAGTTATGCAAAAGCCCGTCATAAGAATAAATGAAAATGAGTTGAATAAATTACGTTTAAAATGGTTGAGAAAAACAGAGAACAATCCTTAAAAGCTTTAAATTGCAAACGCAGACTTGATAATGCCTTTTGGTAATTAAAATATCACTAACCAAAGAAAAAATATTTTGCTCAAATTTGTTTGGGAGATGAAAGAAACTTACCTTGCACCTCACATGGAGGTCGTTTTTCATATGCTGAAAGGCGTCGACTTAAAGGGTCCAATTCAGCAGGATTTAAAAAACCCTCGTACAACAAACAACAAAGTATGTAAAGTGACTGCGCCCACAAATACGGTCTAAACGATTGTGCAAAAAGCATTTTAAACCTAATATAACATAGAACAGAATACAAGTTCAGAAAGAAAAAATTAAGTGAAAAACGTACGTTGTCCCTGCAATGTGCCTTTCCTGCGTACCTCTTTGCCTTTTCTCAGCAGCAACGCCATCAAATGGAACAGCATACAATTCTGGTACAAGCCGACAACCATCTTTTACAACAATTGCCTGAAGAAATCACACCTCTCGTGACAGTAAGCTTTTATGAAGACCAGAGACAAATCTCTATTTTCCAGTCCCACAATACAAGCAATATTTGGTGTTTCCAGAGCTTTTTCCTGCATGCTGCGAAACTTCCTTTATCAGAATAGCTTCCTTTATAACTATTATGACCCTTTTTGTTAACGATGTAAAACTTATGTTGTAAAGAACAAATTTTGCAAAAAATGCTACGACAGCTAGCAGTGATTTAGATTTCAATAAGTATATTACTCTTTTACATCTCAGAAGTAAAGGAAAAAGAGATAAGAGAATAAACAGAAAGAATAGCATCTTCTTATTACAGAAAGAAAATACAATGGATGCAGAATAACGAGGCTTCCAATTTTTGTTAAGACCTTATCCTCACAGAGGAAATCAGATTCCACTAAGTGATCTCACAATCACTTGATACATTTAATCACCAGCTGGCTTTAATCTCCCACCAATTCAAAGCAAGAGAGTGATTACGCCATTTTCTTCCTCGAACCATCTAATTTTTGTCAAGAGCAAAAATTTAAAGCAAAAATAGTAGAAAGAATAAAATGACCCTTACTGGAAAAATTTCTTACGAAACAAACACTTGAAGTTACTGACGAAAAACTTTTTAAGTAAAAGTTTCCTGGAGCACTTACTCTGTCCAGAATGTTCCAGTAATGTTCAACCATCTCACCATCACGAGCAAACATAGCATCTAACAAGAGGTAACACAAAAATAGCGGCCATTCACATTCAACATCTTCGAACTGTTGCAGTTCAGAATTATCGTAATATAATCGAGAAGGATCCTGTAAAAAAAACCGTGTAAATTAACCATTCAAAACATATTAAAAAACCTGAAAATAAAATAACCTCAAGTGGAGTCTTGTACCCGTCTCGCAAAAAACGCCTGCAACCGTATCTGCCCAATAATGTATCAACAATAGTATCCCGAGTCACCTGTATCAAAGACTGGTCTTCTACAGCAAATGCAGGATATGATATAATACCAAGCAAAGCGGAATCAGTTTCCTAAAACATGTTCTCTATAATTTATTGAATAATCGAAAAAAAGAAAAAAAACAATTTAAGAGTACCTTAGAAAATGACTCCCTAGGAAGCATAGATGTGAGGACTGCTGAACACTGTTGAATTTGATCCGGAAGAACGTGAATTACAGATGCTGAAAGACTTGTAATTGTGAACAGTTCATGATCGCCCCAAACGCACCCATTACAGATAAAATTGTTAGCAGATTTTAAATAAGAAAATCAAATTTTATTTTTCTCTTTTAATAAAACACTAGTTTCCAATAAAAACGATAAATTTACTTTTCTTCGTTACGCTGCAGACCCTTTCATTTCAATTTTTTCAGAGTTTTATAAAGCAGTACTAGAAATCTTAACAATAAGAAGAGTAAAGCAAAGTCAAGAAGAACGTCTAACCTTTAGAACCATCGCCAAACAAGTCTCCAACATCACTGATAGCCTGCAGAGCAGCTTTGGCCATTCCAACACTGCTGGCATTCAATTCTCGAATACCCTGGTTTGTTTTATCACCTCTTTCCCAGATACCATAATCCTAATCAAAAAAAGTTTGAAACTGCTTATGTCAGAATTTCACATTAGGTAAACATGCTGCCAAAAAATGTACATACCGGAGTTCTGTAACCCGTTTCTATGTAGTATATAAGATTTTGGACGAAACTAACTTCGTCAAAGTTCCGGATTATCTGAAGGCCTGAAAACAGCAAACATTTTTACGGGTTTTGCAAAACGACTATGCAGTATGTCAAATGTTTACCAGACGCAGTCATCTGGGCAAGTGTCAACAAGAAAAGTGATGTCGCATCAATCTGTAAGTGACCCCAAGCATAGTCACCAGCAACGCAATTTTTAGTTGATACAGAATATTTGGCATGTAATGCATCTCCCTTCCTCTGATGGAGTTTGAACTGTTCAACTTTATCTGCTTGCCTCATCATACATTCTAACAGTGACTGCATTATTTTGACACTGCAAATGTTCCAAAATTCTTTTTAAAAGTAAACAGGGAAACAATTGATTCTATGCCATCAACATTGGAGGTTTAAGTATCCAGAAAAAGTAATCGACTCTGCTCAAAAATAAATGAACCCAAACCAAGTAAGGCCAAGAACATTTGCCTTAGCGAGATCTTCATCAATATCTGCACTTTTCTGGTAAGCTCTATACATACCCCATACGGCATGTGCAGCATAAACATTATCTCTAACCCAAGCATGGTCAGGAAAATCCTGCAAAAGTACAGGATTTTAAAAATAAGTATCACTGACATTTTCAAAAACAGATGAAAAAATGTTTCTGATTTCTAATTAGAGAGGAACATTCATAAAAACTGTCTGAAAAATTGAGGAGTAAAAAAAAAAAGAAGAGTAAAACTTAAGAGTAAAACTTGGAACCGGAAATTAACATTTCAGAAAACAACTGTCATGCAACTGCAATATATTACTCAATTTTGGTTTTAAAAAACACACCTATGCGAAACTGTTACTTCCATTACAGGAGAAAAAATTAAATGATGAAATATAGATTAATTCACAGCAAAAACTGGCAACAATATCAAATCGAACCTAGGTACAGCGAAATTACAGCTTTTTCTGTTGTTTAAAAGTTCAAGAACTGATTTAAATTTGAGAACATCAAGCAACTAACGTGATTATTGTTTGCGAAAAGACCGGTGACGGGATTTTGATTCTTTATGATGGTTTCCTCAACGAGGTGCATCAAACGATCCAAACGAACTCCCGAACCGCTTCTGGCACGCATTTTTCTACGTCCTTCAGGCTTGTTATTTCATGCTATTCAAAAAATTTATATATACACTCATTTCTCATTACCATACAGATGGATATACCAACTCTGTGGAAAAAAAAGCGAATAGTAAAATACACCGTGTGCA